GCCGCAGGTTCGGCCTCCCGCCTCGGAAATCTCCCCTGCAAAACACGGTTGTCGTCAGAAACACCGGAATACATGAGAATGGAATCTCTCTCAAGGGAATGAGACTCCGGTTTCTGTCACCTGGGAGGCCGGGATTAACCCTGGGTAATCAGCCGTAATGGCTACCAAGGTATTGTCCTTGCTTAGCTGATGGAACACCCCGTCGATAAGCTCCACCGATATGTCCGGATCCTCTTCGGAGTCCAGATCGAGGGACCGTTTTGGGTCCTCGGGCTATGGAGGGCGGCTGTTTATATCCTTTACCTCCTGTCGCAGTTCCTGCATTGAAGTCGTTAGACTACATATCTAACCGTGGGAGTATAAAAACGGGCAAGCGCAATTGTTCACTTACCCAACTTGGAGGATCGTACATAGTAAATCCGGCCTGTGGGTTGACGCGGAGGAATTCCTCCTTTTCTCCCTTGTACAAAGAGGATAAGATCTTTACTAGGGCGGCGGCTGAGGCCGGCCCCTTACGACCGTAATGGGTGGCGTCATCCTCCCCGTTGAAATCCACATGGGGTGGCCTCTATATTGAAGCGGCTGCACCCCCCGCATAATGCATGCGGCCATGACTCCAATCATGGTTAGTCCGGAATGAGCCAACAGTCTTATCCGGCCCATCAGGTGAAGGACGTCTTTGTCGTTTTCTCTCTGAGAGCTCCGCGGACGCCAGCTCAAGCGTTTCTTCAATGGAGCACTGTTGAACTCAGGGAGACTGACCCGGATAGGGTCCGGTAGCGGGACGTCATCTATGTAAAACCATTCCGAAGGCCAGTCCTCGGACGCCTTCTTTGGGGTTCCGGATAGGTATCCGGTCCCGGTGATGCGCCATACTTCGGCTCCGCCCACTTGGTATATAGACCCCTCTTGAGAATGGGGCACCAGGCAGAATAACCTCTTCCACAGCGCGAAATGAGCCTCAACGCCTAAAAATAGCTCGCAAAGGGCGACGAAACCCGCAATATGTAATACGGAGGCGGGCGTGAGATTGTGCAGCTAGAGGCCGTAGAACTCCAGAAGCCCGCGGAGAAATGGATGAATTGGAAATCCTAGTCCCCTTATTAGATAGGGGACGAGGCACAATCGCTCTCCTTTAGAAGGATTGGGGGTGCTCTCGGCTTGTTTTCCGCCATTGTAGGTGGCGAGACCGGCTCGGACCGGGACCATGTATGCCTGAGGGAGAAATCCCTTGGCCTGAAGCGACACTAACTCGCTATGCGGGATGGTGCAACTCTCCCAGTCCCCGGGTTTGGGACCGGAGGGGCGAGGGTAGGAGCTGCGGCGGCTGGTCATGTTGGGATGGACCTTTGTTGGAAGCGCTCTGATGATAACTCGCGGAGAGGAGAAGATGCGGTTTGGACCTAAATCCCCATCTCGTTAAATAGGCGGCTCGTTTATACGGCTAGGGGTGTGGATGTAAAAACGCCCCGGATTTTCGCATTCGTTTGACACGTGGAAGACGACCATTATTGGGCGTGGAAGCCGAGGAGCACTACATTACAAAAATCAGACATTATTCCTACAGGTACACAGGATTTGGAGAAGAACCCGCCTTGCAATGCCGAACAATCTGCGCGCCGGACTCGTCGTCATTGAAGCCTGGTTCGGGGGCTACTGAGGGAGTCCTGGATTAGGGGGTGTTCGGGTAGCCGGACTATACCTTCAGCCGGACTCCTGGACTATGAAGATACAAGATTGAAGACTTCGTCCCGTGTCCGGATGGGACTTTCCTTGGCGTGGAAGGCAAGCTTGGCGATGCGGATATTCAAGATCTCCTACCATTGTAACCGACTCTGTGTAACCCTAACCCTATCCGGTGTCTATATAAACCGGAGGGTTGTAGTCCGTAGGACATCAACTCCATATACAACAATCATACCATAGGCTAGCTTCTAGAGTTTAGCCTCCTTGATCTCGTGGTAGATCTACTCTTGTACTACCCATATCATCAATATCAATCAAGCAGGAGTAGGGTATTACCTCCATCGAGAGGGCCCGAACCTGGGTAAAAACATCGTGTCCCTTGTCTCCTGTTACCATCCGACCTTGACGCACAGTTCGGGACCCCCTACCCGAGATCCGCCAGTTTTGACACCGACAACAAGTCTCCGGTCAATAACCAATAGCGGAACCTGGATGCTCATATTGGTTCCTACATATTCTACTAAGATCTTTTATCGGTCAGACCGCATAACAACATACGTTGTTCCCTTTGTCATCGGTATGTTACTTGCCCGAGATTTGATCGTCGGTATCTCAATACCTAGTTCAATCTCGTTACCGGCAAGTCTCTTTACTCGTTCCGTAATACATCATCCCGCAACTAACTTATTAGTTGCAATGCTTGCAAGGCTTATGTGATGTGCATTACCGAGAGGGCCCAGAGATACCTCTCCGACAATCGGAGTGACAAATCCTAATCTGAAATACGCCAACCCAACAAGTACCTTCGGAGACACCTATAGAGCACCTTTATAATCACCCAGTTACGTTGTGACGTTTGGTAGCACACAAAGTGTTCCTCCGGTAAACGGGAGTTGCATAATCTCATAGTCATAGGAACATGTATAAGTCATGAAGAAAGCAATAGCAACAAACTAAACGATCAAGTGCTAAGCTAACGAAATGGGTCAAGTCAATCACATCATTCTCCTAATGATGTGATCCCGTTAATCAAATGACAACTCATGTCTATGGTTAGGAAACATAACCATCTTTGATCAACGAGCTAGTCAAGTAGAGGCATACTAGTGACACTATGTTTGTCTATGTACTCACACATGTATTATGTTTCCGGTTAATACAATTCTAGCACGAATAATAAACATTTATCATGATATAAGGAAATAAATAATAACTTTATTATTGCCTCTAGGGCATATTTCCTTCAGGCGCCGCCCCCCTCCTAGTCCAATTCGGACCAGAGGGGGAGGGGCGCGCGGCCTGCCCTGGCAGCCCCTCCTCTCTTTCCTCTAAGGCCCATAAGGCCCATTAAACTCCCGGGGGGTTCCGGTAACCCCCCGGTACTCCGGTATATGCCCGAACTTCGCTCGGAACCCTTCCGATGTCCAAACATAGTCGTCCAATATATCGATCTTTATGTCTCGACCATTTCGAGACTCCTCGTCATGTCCGTGATCAAATCCGGGACTCCGAACTACCTTCGGTACATCAAAACACATAAACTCATAATACCGATCATCACCAAACGTTAAGCGTGCGGACCCTACGGGTTCGAGAACTATGTAGACATGACCGAGACATGTCTCTGGTCAATAACCAATAGCAGAACCTGGATGATCATATTGGTTCCTACATATTCTACGAAGATCTTTATCGGTCAAACCGCATAACGATATACGTTGTTCCCTTTGTCATCGGTATGTTACTTGCCCGATATTTGATCGTCGGTATCTCAATACCTAGTTCAATCTTGTTACCAGCAAGTCTATTTACTCGTTCCGTAATGCTACATCCCATAACTAACTCATTAGCTACATTGCTTGCAAGGCTTATAGTGATGTACATTACCGAGAGGGCCCAGAGATACCTATCCAACAATCGGAGTGACAAATCCTAATCTTGATCCATGCCAACTCAACAAACACCATCGGAGACACCTGTAGAGCACCTTTATAATCACCTAGTTACGTTGTGACATTTGGTAGCATACAAAGTGTTCCTCCAGTATTCGGGAGTTGCATGATCTCATAGTCATAAGAACATGTATAGTTATGGAGAAAGCAATAGCAACAAACTAAACGATCATCGTGCTAAGCTAACGGATGGGTCAAGTCAATCATATCATTCTCTAATGATGTGATCCCGTTAATCAAATGACAACTCATGTCTATGGTTAGGAAACATAACCATCATTGATTTAACGAGCTAGTCAAGTAGAGGCAAACTAGTGACACTTTGTTTGTCTATGTATTCACACATGTACTAAGTTTCTGGTTAATACAATTCTAGCATGAACAATAAACATTTATCATGATATAAGGAAATATAAATAGCAACTTTATTATTGCCTCTAGGGCATATTTCCTTCATGCGGACCCTACGGGTTCAAGAATGATGTAGACATGACCGAGATGCTTCTCTGGTGAATAACCAATAGCAGGACCTGGATGCCCATATTGGTTCCTACATATTCTATGAAAATCTTTATCGGTCAAACCTTTATGACAACATACGTAGTTCCCTTTGTCTGTTGGTATGCTACTTGCCCGAGATTCGGTCGTGGGTATCTCCATACCTAGTTCAATCTCGTTACTAGCAAGTCTATTTACTCGTCCCGTAATACACCATCTTGTAACTAACTCCTTAGTCACTTTGCTTGTAAGCTTCTTATGATGTTGTATTACCGAGAGGGCCCAGAGATACCTCTTCGTCATACGGAGTGACAAATCCCAATCTTGATTCATGCCAACTCAACAGACACCTTCGGAGATATCTGTAGAGCACATTTATGATCACCCAATTACGAAGTTATGTTTGATAGCACACAAGGTATTCCTCTGGTATCCGGAAGTTGCATGATCTCATGGTCGAAGAAATATGTATTTGACATTTAAGAAAGCAGTAGCAATAAACTGAACGATCATATGCTAAGCTAACGGATGGGTCTTGTCCATCACATCGGTCTCCTAATGATGTGACCCCGTTATCAAATGACAACTCATGTCTATGGTCAGGAAACCTTAACCATCTTTTGATCAACGAGCTAGTCTAGTAGAGGCTTACTAGGGACTTGGTATTTTCTTAAGTATTCGCACATGTATTTAAGTTTCCGATCAATACAATTATAGCATGAATAATAAACCTTTATCATGATTAAGAAAATATAATAATAACCACTTTATTATTGCCTATAGGGCATATTTCCAACAGATGCGACGGTTGGCCTTCGCCTCCGCCTTAGACTGGAGGGAATCAAGGGTTGACTGTTGCTTCGCCTACAGATCCGCGGCCCTCGCGTCCACCTCGTCCTCCTCCTGCTCCATGTCCTCCTCGTCCTCCTCCGGATCCACCACGTCCGGAGGTAGCACCGCGGTGACATGGGCTTTGTAGCTTTCCCGGGTCTGCTCAAGGAGCTGCAGCGGGCACTCCGATGTTACATAAGGGTAGCTCCTGACCCGTCGGCATGGTGGCATGGCTACTTGATTGTGGTGGCAGACTGCTAGCAACCGGCAAGTGAAATGTTGAGTTGGACGGCAATTTAAAAGTGGTGGCGATGGAGGGGAGAGGAGGAAATGTGGATGTATAGGGTTTTGGTGCCAGCGTCCGCCTAAAGTAGCCGAGCTAGGGGCCTTGCGCGGCGCCCCGACACGCGACGTCATCGGTCCATCGAAGGAGATAAGTTTTGTACCGCCGAGTTTCAGAGTGTTTTCCCAGGAGAGCCGCACATCAATCCGACGTGGCGCCCGCGCCTGAACCAAACCTCCCCATATCCATCCCAGATTTAAGCTGAATGCGAGAGGGTACCGGTCAAGCCGGGTGTTTGAGGCGCCCTTCTGGGCCGCTTTTTTTTTACCGGTCCGTGACCAGGACGTCCGCCCGAGCGTTTGAGGGGGGTTTGAGGCGCCCTGCCATAGATGCTCTTAATACCCTGAACCAATCACCAAACTAGCTCCTACTGGGTATATTATGCTGAATCCAACCGATGTTTCTCAAAGAACTTTCAAGAACGCAGATACACTTTTTGCAATCAAACAATCGCATATATTTTGGCGTTCTTGAAATTGTCGGTCAAGTCACCAAACATATAAATGTCATCCCAGTGGAATTGCCATTCTTTGGCATCCACTTTTTCACTCGGAGAAGTATAGCAGCTACATCTAAGATATTGTACAACTCACAATAAGAACAACAGCTGTGTGCTAATGTCCAAGCCATGAAGAAGGTACTGGCTGAAACCTAGACTTGGCACCCGCTAGCGCCTCATGGTAATCTCCCCCGCTGAAACAGTCACGGAAGTCGGTGAACAGCTTGTCAAACACCCTCCACAGTACTTTATACGACCTCGAATATGGAAATGGAAGGAAAAACTGCAAATGGAACATGAAACACTCATATCAGCAAGTACTGTACTCTGCATACCCAAGATTCAATCGGAAGTTATGTATATTTACCCAGGCATTGATGAAAATGCAGCCAGATAATTTCATGAGTTTTTTTTCCCGGAATTTGGGGTATTTACTTGCATTCAAAGAAATGGATGTTCTACTGGCACATGAAAGTAAGTATACTTTTTTTCGAGGAAATATACTTTCTATTTGCTGCTCTGAGAATTAACAAACATAAGTATACTTTTTTTCGAGGAAATATACTTTCTATTTGCTGCTCTGAGAATTAACAAACATATTCAGAAGAGTTCTTACATCTCCTTCTTGCGCTAGGTGTTTTAAGAGCATGAATGTCTGCTGGTTTTCTTCCAAATTGTCAATGACTGCAATCCATATATTTGAAGCAAGTTCATGGGCCTTTTCTCCTGTCCTACCACAAGCAATGAACTGATCTGTACAGAAGATGAGAAGGAGCAATCTTTTAGTATATGGGAGGTATCAGCAATCCTCAGTGTGAAGCAATACATGAATCTTATAGTATATGAAAACATGATTCTTTTACTCGTACAGAGGAGCGCTACATAGTTTTCCAAGCTTTCAACTTGATGCAGCCGAGAATTCCAAGTAAAGTTTCCTTTCAACAGTATAGTATCCAATATTTGTTCTTCATAAAGCCATACAGGTATTACCATCCCAATTCTCCCATATATGACATGATTTAGTTGCCCGACATTTAGTTCTAGTATCTTCGGAAAATGTTAATGACCTCCAGAACTAAAATATGTTGGCACTGAAGCTAGTAAAAAAACTTTATGCTTGGACTGACATTTTAAACACACAACTCACCAATGATGGTGCCATGAAGTATGCTGGATGGAGGAATGGCAACACGCTCAAGCTGTTCTTTTAAATAGAGATATGTGTGACCAACAAGCTCGTCAATCTCCCCACCAGATGGTACAAGGTTCTCGCTGACATAAAGTGCTTGGAATCTTCTGTAAATGATTCATTTCATATTTTTAATTGGATTTTGAAATGCTGGATGGCACAAAAGAGAGCTACACTTCCATGGCTTTGATATAATGACCTAGTGAGTATGTATACGAGAAACAAATTATTTGCCCTTCTTCAGACATAGTTCAGTTCAAAGTGAAATGTTTAGAGTATATCCAACAACAATGTTGTTTACAAGATGCAGTAATATAAGACTAAATTGATACTGGATGCACTGTAGTAAGTGAGACTTCTATTTTATTTTTACATTTTCCAAACTGATACAAGATACAAGCAATCAATCATACTGCAGGTATAGTAGGAAGTGACAATCTTTTTTATTCTTCAAAAACATCATATGATGGAGAAGACAGGACAATATCAGACTTTGGAAGCTCACCTCCTAGCAGAGCCTCTGGGAATTGGCCCAGGCCAGCGTTTCCGGAAACCAGCGGATGGCCATTTCCTTGCAATAGCGGTTTGCCACAAGTATTCTCCTCGGAACATGCTTGCCCAGTGCTTGCTGACACATGATATTTGGACCCACTCGTGGGTTGGTAACCGAGTCAATATTTCTACAAGGAGATGTTCAGGGAGACTACCAATTGGTCCATCACCTCTGTCCATCATAAGGCTATCAAACAGAAAACCAAAAGACTAAGTGTTTCTGTTTCCATTGTCAGTCCAGCAACAAGAAATACTAATCCCTCCGATCCATAATAATTGTTGTGGTTTTATTTCAATGGGAGTAATAACCACATAGTTTTGGAACAAGAGAATGATTTTAAAGACCAGAACAGAGAGAATTGCGATAAAGTGCCCCAAAACGTGCATAAACAAACACCAGCAACAAAATTGTGCTTCTCATGAGTAGTAATACAATAACTCACTGCTAAATTCCAATGTACCATCACCCGCAAAAAAATAAATTCCAATGTACCATAAATATATAAATTGTTAAAGACTATGGAATCTGAGAAACACAATATTCTCCACAGATACAGAGCGCAACAAAGTTAGTAGCTGTGTATTCTATTTGACACGAGAACAGAAATGTTTCAGATCAACGGCAGACAGAGGAATATGCAATTAGTTGTGAAACCCCTTCGCTAAAATTGTCATCTGTATATGAGAGACAAAGTAGTGCACAAGCACTACCAGTACTAACGAACAAAGCAGACACACCAAAGAATAAATAATCTTTTGCACCATCAATCAATCTCGAAAGGGTTCAGAATTGTCTGAGTGCTACTAGGTTATATACACTCACCAACAGGAGAAGACTACATGGGCTAGCCAAGAAGATCATCTTGGTCAGTCAGTCGGTCATACGGCAAAAGAAGGCCGATCAAGAATCAGCCGTCCCCATGATGAACTGGAGAGCATTAATTTGGTGGATGAAAGCAAACGACCGACCGACCAACCAACAAGAACACCAACAGCTTATCTTGCACAGAAACTGATACTCTACAACCGAAGCGGCAACCGTGCCAAGATTCACCCACACACGGATCAGAAAAAAAAATGTCGAGAGCATCTTTCCTAGGTTCCTATTTTCCTAACCGAAGCAGAGCTAGCACGCCGGCCAGAAATACAAGAAACCGAGCCCGAGATTCGGCAGGAAGCGCGGTATCACGCACCGGAGCGGGGAGGAGGCCGGGAGGGGGGCGTGGCTCCTCGGGGTCTCCCGGCTCCAGGGGACCTCCGGACCCCGGAGAGGAACGGGCGGAGGGGGAAATGTCGCCGAGTCGGGTGGAGGAGGGGGACGAAAAAGAGGAGCGAAGGACATGGACGGCTCAGCTTTAGCCGCCTCCTCGTGTGCCTTTGCTGGGGGACGCGTAGCTCCACGTTTCCTTCGCAGGTTCCACGCTCTGTGTGCTTCCCTGGGGGCGCGTAGCGTAGCGTGTCGGCACCGCCCGAGGTGCGGTCCGTCCGTCGGGCATGGCCCGTTTGCCCGTTGGAGGCCCATACAGTGAGAGGAGAGGACACGGACGCCTGAGCCCAGCCCAAGCGAGCGCAGGCGCTCAAAACTAAAGCCGCATGATCCTCAATTTTTTTATTTTTTTTAAAGCCGCATCCCCGAAACGCATCGGCCCCTCGTCCTCTGCTGCCGCCGGAGATCAGGAGGAGGAGGGGGAGGAAGGGAGACCAGTGCGCGGCGGAGCTGGGCGTTCACTCAGGTAACACGGCGACATCTTTTAGTCCTGCATCACCCAGCGACTAGGAATCCCACCAGTTTATATACGTTGGCCTCGGCAGATTCATCTAGGGTTAGAGGGGCGCAGGTATAGGGGGGAGCTTTCCCCCGGGGGACAGGGAGGTAGAGCGGGGAGAGGCTATGCCTCGCCGGAGAAGCCGGGGCATTAAAAATAAGAGATTGAAAATTAAAATAGTACTCCCTCTGTTCCAAAATAGATGACCCAATTTTGTACTAACTTTGTATTAAAATTGAGTCATCTATTTTAGAACGGAGGAAGTACTTACTCAGCTGACATTTCTTTTATCCAGTGAAGGTCACTTATGTAACTCGCCATGATAAAGATACATAACCGTGAGTTAGCTGTAGTGGGACGGTACTAATAAAACGACAAATTTAACACATCTCAGTGGCTCGCGTCAGTTGGTGAAACTAAATGTGAGAGTATCTTCTTCAAATTTGTAGCCCGTAAGTTGGTAAATAAAATTATCAGGGATTTATGATTGATGGTAATCTTTACTGAAGATGGGTTTACAAGCACAGCAGCAGCGAGTTTCTTCCAGACAATGATCTCAACTGGATACATATGCACAATTACGAATATTTGTTAATGTAAGTGTACATCATACCAATGCAGATTAAGCTACTCGTGATGTCTAGAAAGCCCACCATAACTCAGTTTGTGCTTACTTCCTGTGTAACTGTGTAAATGTTAAAATCTGCTGTCAGACTCGTCTAACCTTTAACATCTTCCTGAATGAGATAAAAACTTAACATCAAGATTTTTAAACTTTTAATGGTCTTCAGTCTTTTCTGCCATTAAGACACAATGGAGTTTTAGAAGTTGGATTAGATGAGATTTTCAACATAAAGAGTACAAACTAGTGGATAAGCAGATAAAATGGCATGATGTACTCCCTCCGTTCTACTTCCTCCATTCCTAAATATAAGTCTTTTTAGACATTTCAAATGGAATACAACATACGGATGTATGTAGACATATTTTAGAGTGTAGATTCACTCATTTTGCTCCGTATGTAGTCACTTGGTGGAATCTCTAGAAAGACTTATATTTGGGGACGGAGGGAGTAAATTATAAGATGTTTTGGATATTTCAATATGGACTACATACGGACTGAAATGAGTGAACAAACACACTAAAATGCATCTATATACATCCGAATCAGAATTGTTTTTGAACATCTTATAATTAGGACGAGGGAGTAGCGACCTTCTATTTTGTGTCTTTATTAGTCAAATTCTTGATCAGGGGTCAGATTTTAGTGCATATGCATTCCAGATCGTTTGCTCCATCAGGGATAACCATAGATTAAGGCAGATGCATGTTGGTTACTGAGAGACCCAGAGGAGCAACTTCTGAATCTTAAATATGCCAAAAGTACATTCAACATTTAAATAATTGTGTTTACCTTTTGATTATCACAGGGTGGGTACAGATTGGTCCTTCTGATCCGTGATGATAACTCAAGGTTGGGCAGCGGCGGCTGTGGTAGCAAATGGTGGTGGTGGTAGACGGGGAGATGAGAAGAAGGCGGCTCCAGGGTGCGACGTGGAGGCATTGCGCAAGTGCCTGGAAGAGAACAAGGGTGATGGCGCCAAGTGCCAGGCTCACATTGACGCCTTCCGATCCTCATGTTCTGTCAGCCCCACCAACACCTCCGACTACCGTCCCACCGTATGATCTTCCACTTCTTCGCTCCCAATCAAAAAAAAAAATTCACCAACTTTTACCCATGGATATATTAAGTAAATTCTTCCTACCATGTCTGCAATTCTGGTTAATTTAAATGATCATATAGTTTGATAGGGCCTTATCTGATCCGCTATTTTAAACAAATGAAATTTTGTTCAAGTTGAAAGGCAAAGACAGATTATCTGAAACTTGATGTAGAGCATGACAGTGTTAGGTTAGTCATCACTCCGAGGTCTTCTAGACAAGCGGAGCAGCTGCTTTGGAGAGACATTAGTACAGAATAAATCCGATAAACATATACGGAGTAGTATACATATGGACAAAGAAACCATGTCATCTGTAACTTCTAAACACTTTCTCTGAACCGGTTGGTAGAGTTACAAGGGCAATTATAGGACTGAAACATGTGCTATTTTGTTGGTGCAGGTACAAAAGGAGACCTGAAACACTGGTGTCTTTGCTGGGGTGGTTTTACAAGAAACCTTGTGGAATAATTAGGATGAGGTGCGACTGTGCAAATGCTCATGTGAAAGATAGGATAATTAGGACTTAGACTAGCAGTTTTTTTTTTGAGAAAATTATACTTTTCATCCCTCAATTCTTCGCGAAGTTTAGATTTGGTCCCTCAATTCCAAAACCGGACAACTTGCATCCTTAACTACTGAAATCGGACAAAATTCATCCCTGGTCACGGTTTTGACCGGTTTTGGTGCTGTCACACCCCGCTTTTGACCGTGCCGACTCAAATTCGTCTACCTTTTCCAATTCCGCTTAATGTTTTCAAATTCGGGTACTTTTTCCAAATCCGTGCACTTTTTCCAAGTTCACGTACTTTTTTAAATCCACGTGCGTTTTTAAAGTTCATGTGGTTTTTTCAAATTCATGTATTTTTTTAAAATTGACGTACTTATTCATATTCGCGTACATTTTTTTGGATTTGAAAGTTTTATGCAAACTTGAAAACGTACGTGGATTTGAATTTCTTTTATGCAAATTAGAAAGAAGTGTGGATTTGAATAATTATGTCAACTAGAAACAAGTATCTGAATTTCAAACAAAGTTCATGGATTGGAAAAGGAACATGGATTTGAAAAAAATACACGAACTTTAAAAAGTATGCGGATTTGAAACAAGTTTGTGAATTTAAAAAACACTTCATGGATTTGAAAAAAACACTTGAATTTGATAAAATTACACGAACTTGAAAGAATACACTGATTTGAAAAAAGTACGCAAATTAAAAAAATCATGGATTTGAAAAAAGTACACAAATTTCAAAATAGTTCAAGGATTTGAAAAAGGTATGTTTATTTTTGAAAAAAATGTGCGACCTTGAAAAAACTATGTGGATTTGAAAAGAGTATGTGAATTTAAAAAAATTCACGGATATGAAAAAATTATGCGAAAATTTGAGTCAACACCGGTCAAAACCAGGGTTAGTCAGCACCAAAACCAGTCAAAATCAAGACCAGGGACGAACCTTGTCCGATTTCATTAGTTGGGGGTGCAAGTTGTCCGGTTTCGGAGTTAAGGGACCAAATCTAGACTTCACCATTTTCTTCAGTGAGTCACTTGGAACGGGCTGTGCTAGGCTACTTCACAATTTGGAGTCTCAAAAGCTTGGCCTAGTTTCGTCTGGTGTTTTGGATAATATGCACCTGATTCAAAGATGTTGTAAGGTGCATAAGTTTTGTTTTTTTTTCCTTCTTCCACTTTTAC